ATATATATATCTTACTAGTCTATTTACATAATAATCATATATAGACTAAAATGAAGGACTAGAGGCCTACAGAATCTCCATCATTAATACTATCTTGCTTGCATTCAAAAGCAAATGCGAGTGTGTATTCACAGAACAATTAAAGACTAGAGAGCTAGTCAATCGCATACTTGAAATATGTTAATCAGCAGATCAGAGGCAACCATAACAACTAAGTAGGAACTGTTCCAATTCAGTATTGATATAGACTTACAGTACTACTATATATTCCCTAGCTAGCTACCTGATTGTCTATATTTTTTCACGAGTACTTATGATAGCAAAGACCAATTTAATTTAACTAGTTTCTCAGTACTAAACCAAGCTGGTATAAATGGATATTAATGCTAAATATAAACTAACCCACAAAAGCTTCCCCTAAATTATTGACTCCTTCTCTACATAATTTGATACTCCATTTTGGAGCATTGGATTCGGTCGTACTATAGGTTATAATAATGTCCTCGATCTTCAGTAAAAACAGAGGCGAATACTAATTAAATTTCCATACAAGACTACTTCAATTAGAAATTTATAGCTTTTCTAGAGGATGATATTAACTATTACTAATATATTTTTTTATTCGATAAAACTGGTTTGTGTGTATCTTAATTTCTAAAACGATATAAGAGTACACCTCCACATTTATTAGTGTGAACCTACTGAATAGGGCTGTGGTATTCGAGTTTCCCATTCTTTTTCGGGTGAGTCTTTGACCTGTCAAATGTTGAACTTCACTAATAAACTAAAATTTAAAATCTTGACAGATTTGATGGGAGTCCTGTGTTTCAAGCGATATAGCAGACAGATTCGCATTAAAACGTAATAAGCAAGTTTCAAAGTTTGCCTTTTTATTTTGGTTATGATTATTTCTCCAGTAATTATAGATAGATCAACATTCCTTGCTGCATTACAGTTGAGACATGCCCCAGAAGAAGTCTAAAGGAAGAAATCTGTAGCTGATTTCTTTTCTTTTTAGCTTGGTACTAAGATAGTTTTAAATCCCGTTGCAATTAAGGATTACAGACTTTGCAGAATTGAAGTTTATATTTAAATAAATATACTCATTTGTTTTTGAAATTTTTTTAAATATTCAATTTGTCCTTTCGACTAAATTTTTTTAACCGAAATATCTTTTATTAAAATACAAAAAATAAATAAATAAAACACTTAAAGTCACATGAATTATATGTTCTTTTTTTTTTGAAGTATTTAGAATTTTATTTTATTTTGCATTTTAATCAAGAGTATTTCAATTAAAAAAAATTCATTTGGTTGAAAAATCAAGTTAGAAAGATAAATTGAACATTTTCAATATATTTAGAGATAAATAAGATGCACTCACAAATCTAAAAACAAATAAGAAATATTAAGTATTATATAAAGATATATGAATATATTTACCTTTCATATTTTAGACTAAAACTTGTTATCACTCTTATACGTGAGAGCTTGTAAATTGATATTGATATGTACTCAAAAGTTGTTTACAATAACAGTATATCAGTATAAACAAAACTATTTAAGGATTTATACAAGTTAAACAATAATGATTAAAAGATAGATACCATTAATCTAACTCTCTCATCAATGTAATGATCCCCTGTACTTAGCCTCCCTTGGAATCCTAGTAGGCTTAGAAGACTGTAGAAATCTGTTGCAGCTGATGTAGTTTATGCTGACAGCAACCTTTAGAAGTTTCCTCATTGATTAATCAAATTGTTTTTAATTCAATTTGGGCTCGTTAGATACTGGGTTGGACTCACTGGACTTGGTAGAACTCTGTCCATTTGCTGATAGAGGTAGGCATTACGAGAAAAAAGCCTTTTTTTAGTGCTCAACCTTTCAATTTTTTTCTGTTTTAGTGCCCAATTGTTGATTTTCCATGCTTGACTATCAAGTTTTGATTTTTTGTTTGTTTTAGTGTATGAGTTCACCTAAATCCTGATTTTGTTGACGTATCTAACGAGACCTCGCCACGTGACTATAAAAAATGTCATATGGCCGTCAACCCCTGTCACGTCAACACCTTATATTCTTATGTAGTCATAGGCACTCAAATAGAAAAAAATATCAAAGGTTAGACATTAAAACAGAAAAAAAAAAAATGAGCACCTAAATAGAAAAAAATATATCAATGATTGGAAACCAAAAATATAGTTTTCTCAATAAATTTATTTTAGTTTTCTCATACCAACTATTGATTCCTTTCTTGTACTATGATATATCTTTTTTTTTTATTATTATTATTATGAATAGATTTCATACATTTCTTGTATTATATGTATATATCTCAAAACTTTTTTTTCCGATATTAAAAGTCATATAATTTTAAATTCTAAAAACATCAACAATTACATGCATGCATATTTATTATTATTATTATGCTAAAGGCACAAGCAATTTTAACAATATATTTATTTTTTAACTTAATTCACAGTTTACTTATTATTTCTATCATTATTATTATCGTTATGAAAAATATTATATTTTAAACGCTCAAATCAAAAAATTTGATCACTAAATTTATTTATGTCGATTCTATCATATCTCAATTTACTATAAGAAATTTAGTTAGTTATTGGCTACGATAAAGTTATGTCACCCTTGATATATCGATCAATTTTCTCCCTAGATAGAAGAAGCAATTTTTATTTTTTTGTAACTTTCTTTATTGACCAACCATTTGTTCCGTAAATGACAATCATAATTGAATCTTCTATGTTTTTTATTTTTCTAAATTTAATTTTAATTAGACCTTATATATATTTGGATTAAATAGCATAATTTTAATTTTTTTTAGACAAGTAAAATGGTTTATAATTTTTTAAAAGTAATTTTTAACTGATATAAAGTATTAAAAATTACCATTGATAAGCAAAATAAATAAATAAATAAAATGCCATGATTATGATATGAAAAATATTTATTAGAAATTGTTAGACTAATTTTGCAATCCCGAGACAATAATTTTTTTAAAAAACAACTACGTATGTGTTACCTAATCTTTAATTTTTTTTCTCTTTTAATGCCTAACTTTTGATTTTTTTTTTTTTATTTGAGTATCCATAGCTAAATAATAGATTGATCCTCATGTGGCAAGATTGATCGTCAAATGGTAGGGTTGATTGCCACATGATAGGTATTGTCAAACACATCAATAAAATTAGGATTCAGGTTAATTCAAACACTAAAACAAACAAAAAATCAAACCTTGAATAATCAATCATGGAAAATCAAAGATTAAGCGTCAAAACAGAAAAAAATTTAAAGATTAAGCGCAAAAAAAACATTTTTCTCATTAGATACCATCACAACTTTTGTTATCGAGAACCATTAGTAATTCTTGACAACTTTTTGTAATAATAATAATATATAACTAAAATACATAGAATAATAACCCTTTTAATAGCTAAATGTTATATAAATAATACATTAAACTATTAAAAGAGTGAAGAAGTATGAAAACACACCACACGAAAAAACAGCATTAAAAGCAAGTTTTTTTCTTTTTTGTTCACAAAGTCTAGTGATGGTTATCGAAATCACCTACAATATTGTTGTCTCTAAGTCTTAGCGGTGGTTTTTTCAACCATTGGGAAATTTTGAGATGGTTATTTAGCAACAATTAAACTGTCTCAAAATGGTTTCTTTTAAAATGACCAAACTTCCCTTCTAAGATGAAATTACAAAAATGCCCCTCGAAACCCTCGAACTGCTGCCGAACGCTTTGGTCACCGTCCAGTCTCCTGTCGTTGTTCAACCACCTAACCCGCCAGTGGACGTCAACCTCGTCCTATTGGTAGCAGCTGTGTGGATCACTGTTGATTGTGGGAGGAGATTGGTGGTGAAAAAGGTTTGGCCTTCTCTTCCTCTTCTTCTGGCTTTAATTTTGGCGACGGTGATGGATTTCGAGGTTCGAAATCAAGCCAAAGATGTTCCTAGGACCTACTGGAGTGTTTCTTTGGTCATTAGACGATTTGATGTAGTCGAAAAATAATGATGAAGCCGGGTTGCACCGCCGCAAGTCGTGCTTGAATCTCCGGTCAATTCGCGTCAATTCCCTCGTTTTCTTCTACAGCATGGAGTGACTGCTGAAATTTTAAGGAAGAGTTCTTTGGTGGTGGCTGTCATAGATTTGGCTGGAAACTAATGAAATCTAAGAGGTAACACTAAGAAAACGGGTCGGGTTGGCAGGTCTGACAGCTTGTTTTTAAGGGGCTGTTTAGCTGGTGTGGAGACAGATCCGGGTAGTGGGCGACATATGGTTGGTGGGCGAAGGAGACGACCATGGGGGTTTGCAATTGAAAGGATTTTTTACGGATTTTTGCTTTCAGGATTTTCTGTCTCTAGGACTTTTTTATTTTTTATTTTTATTTTTTTATTTTTATTTTTGTTCTTTGTATGCTCATTAACTAGACATATGGAGTTTTTATATGCAGGATTTTAGGATTTTTGGGTGGATGACAAACTCTACTTTGGTTCCCCATTTTGAATACCCTTTGCATTTTAATCCTATCTGCTCTCCTTCGTTTTTAATTGCACACCCAAATTGAATTTTGTTGATCCTTATTTCATTTGAATTTTCCAATCGACACCTGAAATATATATATATATTTTTTTCAAATTCATCTTTTTTTTTTTGGTACTATTCATAAAATATATGAATATAAATGGAGTAAAAATTGGATGCTAACAATATTGATAGAGGTGAGGCTGCTATAACCAGCTTTTTAAATTGGTGCATCAATAGACCTGCAGTTAGCTTGAGACATGCTTCGCTGCAAACACAACACGATAGCAAGGTGATAACATTAACTAATCTTTTTATTTATCGGATAGCAAGCAATTATTATTCAACTACATGGGTAACAGTGCCACGTTGAGAGAATGCATATGTAGATGAAAAAACAATGGTCGCAACACATTATAAGGGCAAAACATGTTTACAATATTATAAGCTAATTATAAAGATGAAGCGGAAGTCGAGGCTTTGCCACTGCAAAAGTTGGGTACTTTCTTTGAGTTGCCAATCCAAAAACCTCATCTCTTTTCACATCTTCCGGTTTAATTCCTGAAGGCAATTCCCAAGTGAATCCATGCAACATGTTGGCCAAGCTAACAAGAATCATCTTTGTCCCAAGGGGATAGCCTGGGCACATTCTTCTCCCGGAACCAAATGGCAACAACTCAAAATTATGTCCTTTAACATCAATTGCTTTAGAAAGGAACCTTTCTGGCCTAAAATCTTCAGGATCTTCCCACAGATCAGGGTCTCTGCCCATACTCCATGTGTTAATGAAGACTCTAGTTCCTTTAGGAATATCATAGCCACCAACTTTGCAATCTTGAAGGGCCAAATGGGGTGCAAGCATAACAGCAGATGGATGCATCCTCATTGCCTCCTTCATTATTGCTTCTATGTATGGAAGCTGTGGGATGTCCTTCTCTTCCACCCATCTATCTCTTCCAACAACTCTATCCAGCTCCGCCGTTACTCTTTTGAATAACTCGGGCTTTTTCAAGAGTTCAGACATTGACCAATCCCCCATCGTGGCAGCGGTATCTGTTCCTCCAGCAATCAGGTCCTAGCCATCAAAAGGAACAACATAAGTATCTTGTTTTTATTTCCGATACCATGCTAAATGTTTTTCAATAATGCAAGTCTTTGAAAGCTAATTCAATGTATTTAAGAAGGTCTATCACAAATACTTGGCTAGTGGTCCCTAATTATCCCCCACTTGCAGTGAATGCTCTAAACAGGAAAAAAAAAAAAAAAAGAAGTAAATATTCCATAGCACCAGATTCGATTATGTGAAATATTGAAGCAGTCGCATGTGGTTGGCCATGTTCCGAGACAGCAAAGTTTAACAGCTACAGACTAACTAATATAGCTAATGTACATGAGAATAAAATCACTTTTACCTGTTATGATGATTTATTTAGTGATATTCAGAATGCAATCAAACATGATAAAATATGTATTTATATATTTCTATTGAAAAAAAATACATGATTTGTACTATTGTTTGTTTAAAAGTTAGGCCTTCTTGTCCTCCTTTGTCCTTAATATTTTAATTTAATGACATTTTACAGGTTATTGTCCCCCTTTTTTTTTACCAAAAAAAAAAAAAGGTGGCTAATTATTGATGATTTTGTATCATCGCCATCTATATTTTACTTCAGCTTGTCCGGAAGCCGATGGTTGTCAAGGTGCTGGTAATTTAAGGATTATTAGTCAATTACTGTAAAAACCTCAAATTAGCTCACATTCTATGACCACTTCTCATTGAGTCTTTAATTTTTCTTCAAAATATTTTAAAAATCTCAATTAAGTTATATATGTATATACTTCGCAATTGTCTCCACACAAATCATCAATCTCTATGCAAAATAGCATTATTTTTTATGAAAAAAAATATATTTGGATGGGAGATTCAATTGAAAATTTTCTACAACTTTAAGAACCTAACTGAGACCAAAAAAAAGGTTTTTGAAAACTCAATCAAGAATTCTTATATAGTTGGAGGACTTATTTGAAGTTTGCCCTAAATTGATTGGTCGCTGTACTAGCGTACTTTAAATTAGTTAGTACTCCTTTGTGATTGAAAAGTCAAACACCACATAAACAGTAAGCTGACAGGAAGATTTTGGGCTCTCCAACCTACTTCTTCTTTTTTTGGAAAGTGGTGAACTATGAATTAAAGAAAAAAAAAAAAAAAGGAAAAATTAGAAAAGAGTGGAAAGAGAACAATTAAGCAAAAAGAAAATACCTGTGTCAACCCCTTGATATTGTCTTTAGTTAGCTTAACTTCAAGCCCAGGGTCATCAGCAAGCTGCAAGAGCAGATCAACCATGTCTTTCGGCTGCCAATTTTTGGTAGCTTTTCGCCTTGCGTTGTGTTCATCAATGACATAATCATGAAACCTATCAAACCTTACTTTGAGCTCCTTCATTCTCTTCACATACCCCTGCAAGTCCAAGAAATCTAGCCACGGGATCCAGTCTCCAATGTTCATCACCCCATTAAGCAAGAACAACTCATCTAGCATCTCTTGAAATTCCTCAAGTGTAACTATTTCTCTCTCGGATTCCGATGTGCTAAAGTACTTTTTGCCCAGCCCAATCCTGCTAATAATGCTAAGTGTGTAATGAGAGAGATAGTCTTTAAGCTCAATAGGCTTACCACAGTCACGATATAGTCGTCTCGTTAACTCACGCATCTCCTCTACACGCATATACTCATACGTCTCCAGTCTTTTTGCACTGAACAATTCAGTGAGGTAAATTCTACGACCTTGGCGCCAGTAAGGTCCATAGGGTGCCCAAGCAAGATCGGAATACTCATAAGTTGTGTACTTGCCAGCAGCAGTTTGAGGTCTGCTAGCAAACATGTGATCATACGTCTTCAAAATTTGTTTTGCCATGTCTAGTGATGAGGTGACCACAACTGGGTAGGACCCAAATCGGAGCTGCATTGTTTTTCCATACTTGAGAGACAGTTGGTGAAGAGATTGGTGAGGGAGAGGACCAAGAAGGTTGAAATTGCCAATTATTGGCCATGGTTTAGGACCTGGTGGAAGTTTCAATGGGTTACGCCAGGATTTGAAAATCTTTGGGAGGTAAACAAGAGCAAAAAGCCATGCTACTCCCAAAACAACCAACGAAAAAACATCCATTGATGAGATCAAATTTTTGGGGTGGTAGCAGTTTTGGTGTTGTTGGGAGCTTGGTGTGGGCTTTGCATCCTATTTATAGATAAATTATGCAATTACTTATTGGGGCCATGTGGTCCAGACTCCTGACTACCGAGACAAGGCAACGAATTTCCAATTTGTTTCCTTCTTATATTTGGTTTTTCAAAATGCAAGTATTAAAAATTGCAAACAACAAAAAGCAGGAGTATATCAGTACAAAGTGGTTGTCCGATTTAACTTTTTTTAGATAGATTAAAAAATTATTAATTGTTATTTTTATAATTACTCTGGTATTATGGGATTTAGTAGGTTAATTGAAATTAAGTAAGTTTTTTTTTTAATCTGATTTTAAGAACATCCTTCTATTCATATAGGGTCAATATATTTAAGCTTGGAATTTAAAATATTAAAGAATTAGCCACCAGATTTAGTCTTTGTGATCATCTAGCTTTCATTTTGTTGGTAACTTATTGCATATAAACGAATGTTGTTAATAATCCTGCAATTTTATGAGATGCAAATTAAGGCATTAATTTCCTTCACTCTATTTAATTAAAAAAATATTCCTTTTTGGGTGGGTAGAGGTACGAATTGCTGTTGTTTAAGCAAAATCAGCTTTGTTGGTTCCTATATCCACTTAAAGATTTCAAAAAAAAAATAATAATAATAAATAAATAAATAAATAAACTTTTGCAAAATAATTATAATTCACTACATTATTTTGTTGGTAAATGGTTCAATTAAAATTCTTGTGGAAATCTCATTTCTGTTATTGAGAAGGAAAAACAAAATTCGTTGAAAGACCCAATCAAATATTGATGGATATGATGGTGATTAAATTTGAAGTTTCTCCAAAATTCTTATATTTTGAAATATTTCTATGTCTTTTTTTTATGCATAGTGTTGGCATTTCAAAAATCAAAGTCATATATCAATCACAAGAGGTGTCTTTTTATTATAAAACGAGTAACGCGTAAAAGGAATAATGCGTTTTGGTCTTATAACCAATCAAGTTTTTACGAAGTCTTAATATTTTAATAAAACTATGCGTTTGGTCTTGTCACCAATCAAGTTTCGATAAAACCTTAAGTTTTTAATGAAACAATACATTTTGATCTTATAGCAAACCAAGTTTCGACGGAGCCTTAAGCCCCGAGTAAAACGATGTGTATGGTCATGTGACCAACTATGTTTCGACAAAGTTACAAAAGTTAAATAAAACAATGCATTTGATCCTACTTTCGACCGGTTTTGACGAAAGCAATATGTACGAAGAAAATAAAGGGACGGTTACTAATAATTGTTCGCATTTGAATTTAAATGAAAAGCAGTTATTAATCAAAATCTATTTAAGGGGGAAAGACCAACATAATCGCACATGATCAACAACATATACTTTTAAGATAAATTTTTATTTAAATCTTGTAGATTATCCTATAACAGTTTGTTCCAAATTTTCTTACAAGTAGTGCATTAGTCATTTACTACTTTTCTAGTAGATTTGTCGTCATAGTGTTGATCTTTCGAATGGCATCGAACATCTCGATAGCTAATAATATAAGTGTCATATCTTTCGATTTATGATATTTACTCATTTAATGAATTTTGTCTCTTCCAATTGATAAGATTCCATTTATTTTTATTATTTTCCTTTTAAATTAAGTACCCACGAAAAGTCCTCGTGATTTCCTAGACATAACCAAACCCTATAGTGTTTCATCGCGAATGACTTAATCACAAATTAAAGCGTCGATATACTCGTTTTAAGATTAAATTTGTTGAGCGACAATAAATTTTAACGACCATAGTAGGAGTAGAAATGTCAAAACATGGTACTATCAAAAGTATGATAAGACGCCAACTTTTAGAAGGGGACCAAATCGACGAAACATTTCTTATTTTTGTTGAAAGAATGGTCCAAATCTTTAAAAATGAACTCGTAATGAAAACCATAGAAAACTGTAATCGCAAGTAAACCAAGGTTAACAATGTCCCATAACTCGAAAATGTGATTGACAAAGAACAACCTAAAAATCAAAATAGATCGGGTGTTAAACATCAAGAAATATGGGTTCAGAAAGAGGTGATGGTTCTATAAATTGAAACCATGATGTAGGGAAAGAAGGTCCCGAAAAACGAACGATTGAGTTTCAATAAATGCTAGCCAATCAAACTAAAGATTTATTGAAGAGGATATATGATCCATCTTTCAAAATAGGCAATCAGATAAATTGACACATATAATTAATGTCAAATCGAGTTGAAAAAGACATCAATAGGATAAAAGCTTCGTAGTTGAATTATCAAAGAAAAATAATAAGAGCATTGCTAACCATATTGCCAAATTAATGGATTGTATGCGTTATCATAGTGACATAATGATTGTAGATGTAAATCACCCGTTTAATGAAACTCGATTCCATTGGTTAGATAAGTGACCAAGGAAGTGGAGATTGCTATCGAACCAAGATTCGAGATAACTATACGCATCACTCGAATGATGAAAGAAGATGTTCTACCGCTTGTAATCTTAGCGAAGGAAAAAGGAAAGAACCGATTGACGAAATGAATTTTGATGTTAACAAAGAATGAAGTCTTCAACGATCAAGTCGATCGAAGTTCCTTTAGGGTATCCGTCTTCTACTCCTAATAAACTATTTGATAATAGAAATGGTCATGACATGCCACAAAACTCTTATGGACATGTTCACTATGGCCAACCTAATGGCTATTCATCCTAAACACCACTTATAAGTATGTCGACACAACTAATACCTCCATATTATGGACCTCCTCCAAATCTACCTCTAAGGACAACAAGTTTTCCACCATAGAATGTACCAACTATGGGAGCAATAAGGAGAAATGGAGTAGCATCATATCCTTTTACTAGAAATACACCTGGAGAGTTGAATCAAGAAGTTCTAGCTAATATGATTGAGAGGATGTATGGATCGTGAATGCAAAGGGTCAATCGTCCTATTTATCGAAAGCCATACTCGGACTATATCGATAGGGATATCTATTCCCAAAAGGATTTCAATCTTCTAAATTTACTTTATTTTTTAGCGAAGATAATGTTTCTTCCTTAGAACATGTTATCGGATTCACTTTTTAGTGTAGAGAACTATCAATGGATGATTTTTTAAAGTCGTGACTCTTTCCTAGTTCTTTAACTACTACAACATTCACTTGGTACATCAATTTGTTACCAAATTCCATCTTGACTCAGTGAGATATGCGGAATGCATTCCAGTTTCAATTTTCAAGAATAGATCCCGGGATTTCGGTAATAAACCTAGCAAGATTAAAGCGGTTTTAAAAAGAATCTATAGAGTAGTTTCTTTCAAGGTTTATAAGGGTTAGAATTTGATTTCGAGTTAATTTACCTAAAAGTAAATTCTTCGTTTCATACGAGACAGTTTGGATTTCAAAACTTACAAAAAAATTCCGAGGCATGGTGTTTCAAGACTTTTACAAGTTAATAGAAAGAGTGTCAAGGTTCGAAATAATCTTGAGTGAAGAATCACCGTGAAAGAATACCATTGTAAGAACTTACTAGTAAGATTCCATAATGATTGATGTGGATTTTATAGAGTATGTTAAAGAAAAGCCAATGGTATGTAAATAGTTAGCTCGGAAAAACATACGAGCTCTTGCAAGTTTTAAGTCAAAAAAAGATCGAAAGTATTCTTTCGATCTTGATAAAGCATATTTGATCTTTAATTGAATTTTAGCTAACAATAAAATCAAGCTTAAAGAAAAACATAAACTTTCAACCTTAGAAGAGTTAAAAAAAGGAAAATTTTATAAATGGCATAGTGTTCTATCCCATTCAACTAATAATTGTATTCTATTTAGGAATTTAATTCAAGACTTAATAGAGTTAAAAGAATTAAATTTTCTTGATAAGGAAGAAATTATAAAAGTCGATAGTAACTCTTTTCCGAAATGGTTAAAATCCCGACTATTGATGTATTTGACTTTTCGATTTACGAAATAACTCACTATGTCGAAAGCCACCAAGGTGGCCAACCAAGTCTTTAACCGTTTATTCAACAAAGGAGTCCTTCAATTTTCTCACTTTGATGATCCGAAACTGGACCATTACCGTAAATGGCATATCATCATTCCGCACACAACGGATAAATGTTTCAACTTTATAGATTATTTGAATAGTCATCGAGACTACAATTGGTACGATCTTACTCATAAAGAAGAAGTGGCTCTAATTTCAACCCCACCTAGGTCGAAATGTATACTAAAAAGGTCAAAAAATAGTTAAAAGATCCTAAGTTCAACTTCGATGCGGGAATTTTAGCCCATAAACGAGGCCAAGACTGGGAGAATCGCTAAAAAATGGCAAATAGAGATAACCACCAAGGAATGGTGACCAAACAACATCGAATGGGTGAACCATCTTCTAAGTTAGTTTTAAATAGAAGGCTACAATGAGGAGAAAGTTCAAACTTAAAAGACTCAAATAGAAAAGATCTAACTCAACATGGGTTTTACAACGAGTTGTGTAAAAAAGATGAGGAAAATGATAGCTACTTATCGGGTAACTTAGAACCTTATAATTTTGACTAAGGAAACCCTTGCTTAAGTCGAAAGGATTAGGAACATGCTCGTAGGGAGTACTTCTTTAAGTACAAATATGCTACTCTTGCGCGAAAGCATTACAAGTCAAAGAGCCATCCCTATCAAAGATCCGACAATGGGAGACAAGTTGTCGAAAGAAATAGCCCGATGACACTAATAGACCCCTAAGGTTTATAAAATCGAAAAAACCCGAACTTAAAATATGAAAAGAAGCTCGACACTAACATAGATGAAGCCTTAAGAATAATGACGAAGCTCATTTTGGACTTTATGGGTTACATGAGGGAGGGGATAAAATGAGTTGGGTAATTTGATATTATAGTTTATTTTGGTCATCGATGAGGAAGCATCGCACTCGAAATGGCTAAAAGGTGTGATGC